GGAGAGGGGATTAGAAATCTAGAAAGGGGTTCACAGCTTGAGCTCGTACCATGAGTATGATGGCCACTTTTATCATTAAGCTTCTTGTAGTTCTTCCATCTGTGTTGGGAATCGGTTTCTGGTTTTGCTTTTCTTTGAACATCTCTCACATGTCATATTCAGCAAAAATGTTTTTAATTATAATGATTCAGGAGCAGCTTATCTCTTTTTTTTTCTTGCCAACTGATCATTGACCAAGTTGGATGTGAAGCAAAGATGAGAAAGCCCTGAAATGAATCCCAATCACGTTCAAAGCTCATTACACTTTTTCCCCCTGTGGACTTTATCAGCACAGCTGAGTGAACACATCCACGGCAGAAACCACCCCGCGATACAGAGCTGACAAAACCCAAAAAGTAACACCGACAGATCAAGAGCACGGGATTAACACCCGGAGATAAGACTGCCCACGCTCGTTTGGAGACCCTCTGCGGTCACAGGGCAGCGACGATAGGTAGAGTCAAAAGCCCTTTTCAGCACATCGGTGACACCCTGATGAAAAGCATCCTTAGCCCCACTCTCAAGCCCCCCCTCTGCCCCCTTCGTCCCTGGCAGGGAGCCAGCTGAGGGAGGGGGTGGGGGGGGGGCATCAGTTCCTCCCTCCACTGTAAAGTCTGCTTTTCAGGTCACCTGATCTGAGCTTTGGAATCCTTTCTCCCCATATCCCCAGCACATCCCAGCAGCCGTCGCTGGGTGCCGGTCGTTTCCCCGCCTCCTAAAACACGAGTGGATCTAAAAACAGACCCACGCACGAGGAAAAAAATCGACTTAAAACTGACACCAGGGAAGGGAATCCAGTCCCATTTGTCAGCATGACGATGTCGGTTACAAACTAAAGAGCTTCACCTTTTCCAGCTCCAAATTAAATAAGGACTGGCTCCAAATTGTAGTTAAAAACACCAGACTTCCCCCTGCTATCTGTATTTAAATCAAGAACAGTGTCCTTTCTGGATTTAATAACAAACACTTCCTGTAATGAGAAGGCCTGGATAACCCACCGGGGAAAGAAAAGAGGACAGCCTGCAGTAGGAGATAGTCAGTGCAGGGTGTACGAGAGGCCGCAGAGGGGGGGGAGGCGGAGGAAAAGGGGGGAGGACGCACGGTCAGAAAAAATCTGATGTGGGAGGTGAAGCACTTAAAGATGAGACTAAGGAAAAATTGCATTCATCGTCGCAAAATGGGAATGCAGTGAGATCAGCGTGCATCGAATAAAAAGATAAATTGAAAGAAAAAACTAAGAAGAGGGCTGAAACACGTCTCTCTAGCCTTTACACTCTCCACCTGCAACGTCTGCTAGTTTCAAAACGCAAGAATGTGCGTGAATTCGACACGCAGTTATGATTACAGTTAGAAAGTTACTCTAATTTTGCCCCAAGTTGTCCCCCTCCTGTTTCATTAAGACCCAAATCCCCTCACAATAGGCGGCTAATTATGGCTGTGACTAACAATTCCCTTCATTATCATTTACTCGGCTAATTATTTGCCATTATTTTTCAATTAAAGCATTTGCTGTTTGGCAGGGGGAGAAAAAAAAAACATGTGGGAAAATGATTAAGAAAACCTATTAGAAATTCTTTAGTTCCTTTGCTAAAGTATTGAAACTATTCATTATATCCAACCATTAGTTCAGAACCATAACACGATCATATAATGTTGAGAACTATGACATTTTCATTTCCGAGAAGCTGGGTCAAGCAAATATTCTGCTTTGATTGAGAAATGTTGATTTGCAACAATGTCTAGTTAGAGAATGGAATCAAATATCTCGATTGTGAATAAAATTCTAAAAATGCATAAAAAGTGCAAGTGAATGCACCGATCCCCACATACAAAACCCACATATTAACACGTGGTTTATGAGAGTCACCAGGCCTTACAGTGTTGCTGCAGTGAACAGAGACGTTTCTCTGCTTTGTTAGCATGAGGAAACGCAGCCGAAACCCCAAACTGACCCAGAGCTGCAGACTTCTGCAAAACACAGACAGGCAGCCGCACGGGCACCGCTCTCACAGGGCCCAGACAACAACCAGACCACCGGCGAGATGTTTGGATGCCTCAGACCTTCCCTGCCTGTGCGTGGCGGCGCGGTGACGCGGGGCCGTGACGGTGGACGTGCTCCGCCCCACAAAACAACAGCACCCCCACCTCCCCAGAGTCCCAGGCCTGCCTCATTCATGCCTGGACTTCATTATGAGGTGGAACGGCAATAATCATGGGCCATCAGAAAGAATTTACAAGACAATGTTTCAGCGCACGTCCCGCCTCTCCGACACAAAGGGCAGTCGGAGGGTTCCTACGGCTACAACAGGAAAAGCTGAAGGAGATGCATCCTTTTTACACACAAAAATACAGTCCCAAAGCTACAGGGTGCGCTTTAAAACAGCTCAGCCAAAAATAATTCACTTCACACCGGGTACAGTATGAAAAAGTGGAAGGAGATTTTCTAAGAGTGACACAGTGTTACAAGTTTTTTTTTAAATAAACAGTATATATGAGAGAAGCTCCCCTCCTTTAAAAAGAATACTTAGGCCTGATCTTTCCAGAGCTCTGTGTTAGCAGTTAGGGTTAGCTCCAAACCCGTGTCGGCAGTTTACTCCCGATGCCATACAAACGCAGCAAGCATCGCACAGCTCTTTGTTCACGCCTCGTCTTGCTTTAGGAGGAGTGGACGAGAAACTGTGCTGCTGGCTGGACGCTGGCTTGGCCTCCAGACACCTCACACACACACACACAGGCACACACACACATGCACACACACACATTCACACAACGATGGCCAATCTTTGCTCCTCCCTGCCACCTTAAAAAAAATTCTCTCAGGTTTTTGCAGCTATCAATATAGGTAATTTCTTATCAGTTCAGACGGAAAAAAACAACAAAACAAAACATTTTTTTATCCAAAATATCCTAATGCATTAAAAAAATATAGATAAATTGCTGCAATTTCACAAAATTTGACATTGATGTCGATCATCACAGATTAAGTCAAAGAGCACTCAAAGTGAAAATGCAACATGTCACACAAATCCAATTGGTTAGAAATTCTCAAAGTAATATTTATTTGAAGCCTTTATAGAAAAGAAAAAATCAGGAAGGGCAGCCGATGGATAAAGGCTCAACATAAGGCCTCCACTGGGCAGGATACACATGCAGGAACCCAGATAATGACATACTGACACTGCTTTGTCACATTCAGCTCCTACAAATCACTCCCCTCGTAAAAGACTTAGATGGCTCAGCTGGGAAAAGCAGAGAAAATGAACAGCCCTCACCCTTCTTTTAATAACTCAGGAATGCCTGCATTGGCACATTCGTGATCTCTTGATAAAATTAAGGCCAAGAATAAACGGTCACTCCACTGAGTGCAAACACCGCCATCAGACAACCACACAACACTCTTATCAAGTCAGATTAACAGAAAATTCATAAACTTATTCCCCTAACGCACTAATTGAATATATTATATAAATTAACATTTATTCTGCTTATATTGGTTACACTCAGTTAAATTATTTGGTTGTTTTACAACCACAATTTATCAAGAACACATCTATTTAGGTTCGATGCCCATTTTGTCTGTAAATGAGGACAGTTACTTGATTTTACAGCAAAAAACATTAAATATTTAAATGATAAATGATAATATGCCATTAATTCTGACAAAAGTGAATCGCATGCTTTAAGACTCAAAGTAAAACATCCTCTCACTGAAAGTCAGAGCAGAATTTGCCTTCGTTTGCAGATCCCTTGCAGGACAGAGGATCTCTAAAGAGGATCATTGTGCAGATCCTCATCACTTCCCCTCTTACCTTTTTGTGTCTGTCTTTGAAAGGTAACGCAGGCCATGGCATCTCCTGCAAAAAGTCTTGCCAGTGTTTCTGATCCTGATCTGACGAGATGAAGACGATTTCCAATTTCTCCTTGTGCTCCGAGCTCTTCTTGAACCTGCTGTAAAACTCACAAAGGCTGCCGTTGAACTGCTTGCACGGCGCGTTCAGGCTGCATCCGAAGAAGAGCCCGACCAGGGACAGCCGGCCGCCCAGGGACTGGACGTCCACCTCGGCTTTCTCGCCGTTGACGAGCCGCTCCCCGAGCAGACTCAGCAGAAACTCCGACATCGCTCCGACGCGAACCGCGAACCGTGAACCCTCCCCGGTGGGCCGAGGCTGCTGTGCGCGCGTCAAACCGCTGCGGATCGGGCGCCACCCAGCACTTCCCCTTCCAACCCTCCAAACCCTCCAATTTGAGGTTTGGTAGGTGAGCTCTGGAGCCCCGGCTGCCAGGCGCTGCGCTGCGCTCCCGTGTGCCGCCGCTCGTCCTCCGGACAGAGTGAGCGCTGTGCAGGAATGCGCTCCGCGTAAATCTCCCTGACTGCAACAGCTCCCGCCGCTATCTGGACCCGAGCTGACTGTCAGAGCAGAGGCAAGGATCGGACTTAATTGCTACACCCCCTCACCACCCCACACCCCCTATTTCTTGAGTGTTAAATGAGGTTTGTCTCATATGTTTGAGTTGGGATGTGCTTTCGGATCCTGAAACAATGTCTTATTTCATATTCAAATCAGCTATTTTTCGAAATCCGACAGAAACTATAAAAATAATGTGCAGTAAGATAAGAGTTTTGTTGTCAAATGAATTTCAAATATTTATAAATCAAAATTCAGCAAATGTTCATAACGTGGAGTCAGATGACAGCACTGAGGATGTGCTGCCACCTAGTGGTCACAAAAGGGAAACAACCCAACAGATCTACAATCTGTTCAGACAAAAAAAAAAGGTTTTTATAAGCTAAAATCAGAAAATAAGGCCTGATATGTCCAAGAGAATAACTAGCCCCTTCAAATCTACCCTAAAAAAACCTTTGGTACCAGTGATGTATACTGAGTTTTTCTTATTTCATTTTGTAAATGCATATTTCAAATGAAAAGCCGATTAAGGCTTATCACCTTCTATTCTATTGAAAACACACTTTTTCATTTGTATTGATACCACCTCACATCACTGCTATAAAGACACACTCACACACACACGTTCAGCTACAAGTTTAATTTAATTTCATACATGGTGTACTCCAAAACAATGCAAATCCAAGGTAAAAAAGGGGGGCCACAGTATAAAATGTTAATTTGTTGTAAATCAACTAATAATTAGTGTTAGAATTAAGCTCAAATTGCAGCATTTTCTGGCTGCTCAGTGACTGAAACAAACCCTGGAAGATATTTTGCTAACGGATTGATAAGATAGCTGTGGATTCTTCTGGAAAGAAAAGCTCTCCAGTTTCCTGTGAGCTGCAGAGGAGCCTTCAGTCTTCGGTAAACAACATCTTGACCAACTGTGCTTTGAGGCACTCTTCCTCCACCAGTTTTTGAGGCTGAAAAAAGAAAAAGAAAAATGATTCCATATATTTTTTTTTTAAGTATTGAGGCAATTAAATATAAAACATCTTAAGAACGAATGTAATGCTGAGTTTAGTTTCTAAACTAAATTTTAGTAATGTTCTTTTAAGAGATTTAGAGTATTGTATCATACAACTCATTCTTACAGTGCCATATCGCAGCAGAGTAGGAACTCCGGTCAATTTCAGTGTCTTCTTGAAGTCATTATTTGAATCCTTCCAGCTGAAACATGAGAAAGACGTTCGGTAACTGTTAGTGTACGATCTTGAAATGAAAAAACTGATTTAAAGATTAAATTATCACACCTAATAATAAAGAAAAACTCTTGCAAAAGTACAGGACAAAATATGCTATACGAATAAATGTACATACAAATGTAGAAATAGCCGTCAACACATAATATAATGAATATTTTACACAGTTTATAAATTAAGCTTAATGGAGTTGTCAGACATATCTGTACTTAAGGTTAAATGTTGGTTGCACTTAGCTGTGATACCATACTGACAACATCATCCTTATATGTCTCAACACTGGAAAATAAAAGAGGAATAATAAAAAAAAAAAAACTGACTAAGCTCTTTCTCCAACTTGACAGTAAATGAAGACGGAGCCCTCAGGAAGGTGACTCATCTCTCCTCTAACGACTGGCTCAGCTGAAAATAGAGAAAGAACATACACGTAATGGACATTGCATTAAATCTGTTTAAAAATGCAGTAAATCAATAAAATACTCAATTCTTGTTGCAGAAAGATAAAAACACAAAACAATAAAATATAATAAAATAAAATAATATCAGCTCCTCTATTTAAGGAAGTGCAGCGTTACAGCATAATAAATGTTAAAGGCACGCCTAAAATATGTGAAGTCACCTTTTACACAATCTGGACACCAGCTCTTTCCATCTGCGTCTTTATCACCAGAGAAGTAAGCAAAGATATCCTTTCCTTTCCTCTCGGAAACAGCCTTACAGAAGTCGTCATACCCGCGTACATTCACTTCTTCGTAATGGGCCATCGCTGTGACTGACGTTAACTGATAAAAAGCTCACAATTCAGCAGCAACTGAAGGTCTCAGCAGTTTGACAACAAATGCTTTTTCACTGGACCCTGCACCTGATTGATATACTACAACGTTAAGGGAATCACTTCCGGGTTGTGCAACGGTTCTTAAAGTGACCGCATACCTAAATTGGATATAGCTATTTTCTATTCTACGTTCCTTTATCGAAAAGGGTAGAAATGTTGTATCATTTTACGCCATTTTAAGATTTCTGCTATCACAAGTTGAAATTCCTCATTTCACATACAATAAATTTTATAGCAAGCAGTATTTTAATTTGCTGTGACTTTCCACCAAAGGAAAACAAACGGACTTCCGTCTGTTGTAGTCATGGCGCCGTTTCAAACTGTTGTCAATGTTATTGACATGTAAAACGACTTCTCATGTACTTTATTCAGCGTCTACCGAGTTTCTCTTTGTTAATTACTTGAGTCCCGTACAATTTGGAACAAGTAGTAATCAGCGAGGGCAAAAATGGCTGACTGGACTTTGTTGGGTTTAACTTGATGTTCGCGAAATTACGTTAGGTTATGTAGCCCGCCAATGCTAATCATCGTTAGCAGAGGAGCTCAATAATTGTTTACTGTTTAAACATAACTTAGTGGACGCTTTCAATGCAATGACCGCCGAATTCTTGCAGAGTGCTCCGATTTTTTCCCTGGGACAGAAGAGTTGGGACAGAGACTGGGTCGACGTTGGCTCCACGCGCGACGCTCGAGGACCTTTAACGACCAAAACCTCCCAAACGAAGGTTAAACTCTTATTTTCCACTGCTGTCCACATTTATTGTTCAAACGTTTATATACTGGTTTGCTATTTGTTAACAATGTAGGAGTGATAACACATATGAGTGACTGCATATTCTTTCTATAAGAATGCATCCTTTCAAGCTTGTTCTTGTACAGTTGACATAATTTTTTGTTGTTGCTAAAACATACTTAATTTTGGATTTACTGCTTTATACCATAGCTGTTGTTCAACGAGAACATCCCAGCATGCACCACCAACCGGGCCACCCATGCAGGGCCTCCAGCTCCCATCCTGATAGAAAGACTGCTTCCTCGTACAGAAGTGCAGGAGAGTGTGGACAGCAACAAAAGCTCACTGAACTTCACCACGCTCTCAGAGGAGAAGCTTCAGGCTGCTGTGAAACTGGCCAAGAGAGATCTAAGACGGAGGCACCGCGAGTCACTGAGAAAAGTCCCAGCGAAACCTTCCCAGGAGGAGTCCCTCTTTGAAACAAGTAATGTGGAGCTGCTCCAGGTAAATTCTCACTGATGGTGCATGGTTAACTTTGAGTGTAAACTGTATATAAAGACCGCCCATGTGTGTGTGTGAGTGCGTTTGAGTTTGCCTGGTTTATTGTTGATACTTTGTAAAATCCAAAAACCAAAAAGAACCGCTACTTGTCTTTGCAGGAGTTAGCAGCCACTCCGAGTAAAACAAACTATAAAGCCTCAAGTCCAAAAGCAAAGGTGTATCAGGCCAGCATCGTAAAGGATGGTTCCAGGAAAAATCCAACCTTGTCCGTGCCCCATGTTGGTCAGTCTCCTCCAACCAGGGGACCTGGCCATAGGCAGGTGGAACGAGGCAAACAGACTCCCCTGAGCAACGAGATCCGCAAACTGCAGAATGAGCTGGAAGTGTATATTCAGAAAGTGGAGGAGCTAGCTAACAGAGGTAAGATTCACAGTTTAAAATGTGTTGTCAAATTACTTGAATTTTTTTTTTCTCTTTGTAAAGGATCCAGAGATTTTATTGTTGATTTGTGATCCGAGCAGAATCAGCTGATGATATATAATACATTGTGAGTTTTAAACATTAGGAGAGAAAATAACGGAGCCATTGGAACCTGAGGAGCAAAGCAAGTTGGAAATACGCAGACAGAAGCAGGCGGCCCGCTCGGCACGACTTCTTTATGTTCTCCAACAACAGGTGTTTACATTTCTACCACCATGTGCTACTGATAAATGAAGCGTCCCCCACTTTTTCATTTGCTCAGTGTCGATAAACTCTGTTCTATTTAACAGGTAAAAGAGATTCAAGAAGACATTGAACGACTACGAAGAGAGAAAACGTGGGAAACCAAAAAGGTTTGTCATCCTTGCTTTTTATTTATTCATTTATAGTTAGAGCACTATAAACACAAACAAAAGGGAGTCAACCAATTGAATGATCTGTTCTTCACAACAGTAAACCGATTAAACATTTTTTCTTCTTTCAGTCAGTTGCTATTAACAGGCTTGCGGCTGCCCACCGAGGAGCTCTCAGGGCCTTACAGGGGATCATCCACCAGCTCTCAGATCTGTCTCAGAGCAAAGTGCCCCCTCATTACAAAGAACTGGGACAGCTGATCCGTCAGCTCTCTTTGTGCTCAGCTAAGGTCGAAGTGTACCGAGGATCAGCCGTGCCTGAGACAGCCCTTGACATCTTGCAGAAATTAGAGGTGAGATCCCTAAAGTAAAGTTCACAAGCCCATATTTGGTTCATATATAGATTTTTGTTGTTGTTTCAAGGCTTTGAATTTATGTCAGTAATGGTGGCTTAATAGTTTACACAAACTATACTGCTCTATAATTGGAAATGTGATGTTAAGTGCAGCTTTCTTGACTGTTGAACTTGTTTTAAGTCCATGTAAACCTTCCTCTGCTCCACTGCTTCGAAAAAGTCTCAGGATAGGGAAGAATCGATGGAAGAATCTCTGTAGCATTAGTCAAATATTGAAGAAATCAGTGACACATTTCAATTGAGCCTCCAGCAGTAATACCCTTTGACAGCTTTAGAATGTATGTGTACTGCTACTCTTTATGTTGGTTTTCTGTATATAGATTTCTTTTTCAGAAGAAACTGTTCAAATAATGAACCAGAATTAAGAAAACGTCTGACTATTTCTCTTAGACTTTGGAATCTGCTCTTAGTAAACAAGAGACGTTTGAAAAGATGCAGGCCCAAGCACGCCCTCCACGCAGGAAGTCTCCTCATCACAGCACGTCTCCTGATGCTGGACCCAAGGGTCCCAGCACGTTGAGTCCTCACAAAACCAGGAAACCCAAAAGAGCTGTCACTGGTGAGAACCTTTCTTTTTCTCCTAAGGATTAAAAGCTAAATAGTCATATGAATTTGATGTCGATGCATTTTCCTGAGGGCAGCAGCTGAATTACTGCAGGAGGCTCAGAGAGCTGCACAGATTGAAGTGTCTATAGACTCCTGTGTGTCGGCAAGGGGGTTGTTGGTGATTGTGTTTGAGCCTCCTGCTGTGTCTAAATGGCTGTACCCAGGTTGAAAATTGATAGGGAGCCATGAATAAGTAATAGAAAAACAGGAACCGAAGTGCAGAACCTTGGCCTTGGGCCCCCTGCTGCTTAGTTTTATGAGCAGTTAACACCTGCTGGCTTCTATTGAGCTGAGTGGCATCCTCTGTGAGACACGGCATAAACACCTCCAACAAGCTTTATTAGCAACCCGGATCTTCCCGGATACAACAATTGCTGCATTACTTAATCCCCTGTACCATAAATTGAACAGGTTGCCCGTACTCTGTACTCACTGACAAATCAATGGGGGGTGTTTCCACCTTACTTTCTATTATTTAAAATAGATAAAAACCAAACTTTGCAATCCACCATAGATTAACCTACATTTGTATTTAAGTGGGATCAGAAACAAATCAGCTTTGATCGGAGGAAATCAGTGGTGTCATTTTTCAACTATTTCATTAGGAAGTAGAACAGCTTCACACAAGCCCAGAACTACCTCTCATCAGCCCAGCCGGAGGGAGGTGCTGAGGGCTGGTCTGCAGAGCCTCGCCCAGCAGAGGGAGCTGAGGGAGCAGCAGGAGCAGGCTCAGACAAACAGCACCTACAGAACAGGACGGCAAGCTCAGAGAAGAAAGCCCGATGGAACAAAGGTGCTGGACCCATGTGTAACTGAATATAGCTTATTAAAAAATAAATCCAATGAGATCTTCATGTTCTGAAAGATGCTATATTGGGCTTCTGCTCCAGCACGCTTTGGAAAGCTCTGTCAAACCATGTGAGATCCTTAAAAATAAACTAATGGCATATTTTCTTATGTTTGCTAGCTTAATCAGCAGCAAGATGCAGGCTTCCAGCAGCCCACAGTTTCCTCCCGGCTCAGAGTGACCCAGCCTCTTCAAAAAGAGCACTCTGTGCCCTGGATCCCAACGTCCCCTCACTCTCCTCCTCCACAACAGTGAGCCTGTTTTCTATCTTTGTATGACAGTTGATATTTAAAATCACAACTCTTCTGGATGACTAATATAATTACATAACTCAGGCTATGTGTTTTGTAATGTTTTAAATTAGGATCTTTTGGTTTGGCTGAACAACACTTTTCATAATCTACAATTGTTCCTAATGATGACCACTTTCTCTTAAAGGCCGTTCATACAAAGCACAGTGCACATACTGAACACACGTTCTGAGTCACCCCTTAGAAAATGTCAATGTCCTGTCAACTCACCAAATGTTCCTCTTTAAAGTTGTAGAACTTCCACTTTGAAATAAATGTTTAAAATGACCTACTGTCACAGCAAGCTTTAGAGGAGATGCCCTCTGAATGGGAAATTCATGTAAAAGATTTATGAATGTAAAACACATCAGAGCTTCAGATTTAGTGTGAAAAGACTGTTTTTCTTAATCTTCTGAGCATTTTGTCTCTCTTGCTCTTTCTTCTGTGGCTTTGTTTATCACTTATTTATTTGGCAGTAGGTCTCCACAGAGGGCAAGAGCCGAGCCGCGCTGTCTCTTCCCTCAAGCAAAGCCCTCGCCGAGCCCCCCAAGGCAGCAGGTTGGAGGTGGACTGGAAGCGGAGCTGATGTTAAGCCCAGCCAAGAAGAAGGAAGCTCAGAAAGAAGCATTACAGTGAGTCCTACAGTTATCTTTATTTGAATTTGATTTATTCTCTCATGAATCTCAAAATCCAATATTGTATCTTCTCAGATTAGCAATTCTGTGTTTTGTCTTCTTTCTATTGCACTCGTGATACTTTCGACCTTTTCTGGAAACAGACAAAATCCATGTGGTTGAAATCTGGGGGAAATAAATTTTAATGAGTTGCTGATTCATTTCTAACCTTCCTGTCAGACCCCACTTGCTGAGAGCCTCAGGCGATACTCTGATTGTAATGCAGGGATAATTCTTTCCAATGATTTAATCTAGATTCTTTCTAGATTGAGGCCATTTCTCTTTTTAAGTAATTAACAGCTGGCCTGTTTTCAGTGCTTATGAATACCTCATTGACTGAGTGTTGCGCATATGCCGCTGTTCAATCAAATCTTAATGACTACAGTTATGCTTTCCTATTAATCAGCGACAGATTTAGGAGATGAGGATTATATGTTATTTATGTGAAAAGCTTAATCAAGCTTGTGCTCTACTTCAGTGTTTTTCAACCTTTTCTGAGCCAAGGTACAGTTTTTCATTGAAAAAATCACGAGGCACACCACCAACCAAAAATGTTAAACAAATCTGTATCTGCCTATAGTAACACTGTAGTTATTCTTATTTTATTCTTATCTTATCTGAAGTGTCTTGAATAGGAATCAAATAAACACAAAAATGTATTTTTATCATATTCTATATTTCTTCTTTCAAATTGCACTTAACATGTCCACTTAGATATGCAAAATTATATACAAAATCTAGTCATAAGGAATTATTACATGATTACTCCATCAGTCACTACTACAGTACAGACACTCAAAAATTGAATATTATTTGCAGAAAATTAATTCCTTATCAAAACATTTTTTTAGACAAATTAGGTGAAATAGTAAGATTTTCTCACGGCACACCTGACCATCACTCGCGGCACACTAGTGTACCGAGGCACAGTGGTTGAAAAACACTGCTCTACTTCATGTAATGATTGCTGCTTTGGTATAGGAAAGCCTGGCTGGATAAGATGACCATTCAGAGTGTGAAAAAGCTAAACCATCTCAGTCAAGAGGAGGCTGCACACCTGAAAAGATTAAGGTATGACACAAACACAATAAAACTATAAGCAGCTTTCTGAGAAGCGTGTGGATGGAAGTTGAAGTTCTTTTTGTGGAGTTTGTTGTCGGTTAGTAGTTTTGTCAATAAGAAATCTGTTGGAATCAATTTTTAATTTCGCCTGAAGCTCTGTAGACTCAGCGACAATAAATACCAAGTGGAAAGAAATCAAATAATGCACAAAATGTTCGTGTAATGATGCAGTTCAAACAAGCCACAATACACAAAATAAATAAATAACCACTAAATATTGCTGCCAGTGCCAATCCAGAGCAGTAATCCACACAGCAGTCTGCCAAACACTTCACTTCACTCATATATTCGCTTGCTTTGGGAATTGAAATGTGGACACAAAAACCAGAAAATGATATTGGTGTAAAGTGTCTATCATCCAGGTCACAGTAATCCTCAGAGCACGAGTAAGAACAAGCAGACTGGATCAGACGTGAGATGTCTTCCAGATCCAATAATAAGACAAGTCGCCTTCAGGATCAGAAACTAATGACGGATGTGAATGCACTTCAGACTAAGGAGGTTTTTGTCGTGACTACTGTGCCTTCAGTAATTACTCCCTTTAACAGACGTTGTGATTGAAGCATAGTTTGCATTAACCACCCAGTCTGTGCAGTATTCATTTTAATCCATTTTAAAAAATTTAATATGATGTAGAGCCTTGACATTTATATCCAGGATTTTCTTGAAATCCTTTTCCTAGTCATGTAATAGAAAGTTTGTGAAAATAATGTCTTGTTGGTGTATTACATTATATATATAATCACTTATCTAGTGCTTTCGTACCACTCAGTGCAGCTTCACACTGCCCTCCATGTTCACCAACAAATAAGAAAAACACTTAATGCACTTTTAATATGTTTATAATGCATTTACTCGTTAACGTCACAAGGAGAATCTTGAGTTTTTAGAACCTTGCTCGAGGATACATGGACATATGGACTGTGGGCGCTGGGATTTGAGACAGAGCTGCAGATTTGGTCCCGGCCTGCTTCACCGTCGGAGTTACCACTGCCCAATAACAACTGCTGCTTTGTGTGAATCCCAGTGGCTTTGAAAGCAGACCGTTTTTACTTATGATCATTAGTGAAATGAGTGATTGCATGATTTTTCAATTAGGCATATGACTCATGGCCAATTTCTTTCATTAATGTTATCTGAAGAGAAATGTTTCAGTTTCTCTCTTAAGGCAGTTTTTTTTCTTTTTCTTTGACAGGTCTGAGGTGTCGCCCCAGTTGGATGAAGCACAGGTGGGAAGACTTATTGGCTGCCTGGCTAATTTCTCAAATAATTTTATTCCCAATTAATTTTAATCAATTATATTTGGGATTGTGTTTGTTTCTATTTGTGTCCTTCAGGTTGGTGAGCCCAGTAGGAGGATCAGCCCCTCGCTGAAGAATCGGCTGTCTGAACAGTTTGCAGAGAGAGTGAGCTATGATCCTTGAGCGTTGGCTTTGCATTTGTAGATGGACTCAAACTTGGACACTGACAATAATGACGCCCGGCAGCGCACCTTTGGAGTCCGTTTTTTCTGAGAGTACGAACTGTTCTGCACAGGCAGCAGAGAGCGCAGAGCGACTGAGCGAGGCGCTGCTGGAGGATCTGCTGGAGGACACCGCTCAGGTTGTGTGGGCGGCTGCAGAAGACAGACAGGTGGAGGACATGGCTCAGTGGAGGCTCCAGGCTCCCACCCTAGAGAGCATGCTGCTTCGTATGGAGGAGATGCAAGTAAGAGCCGCCCTACAGAGGCCCACCTGAAAAAGGGCACGGTAGAGCCTGAAAGGTCACATGCAATCGGCTTGTTATTTATAGGGAGCCGTTATGATGCCTAAGCTCTGCTGCTAGCCGATATCAGGGCTGGATCAGGAATCTATCGCTATCAGATTTTTATTGCACAGCAATCTTTGGAAAATTAAGAGCCCCTGTTAATTGTATGTATCCAATGTGTTTTTCTGTGGGATTAAACAGAAGGATGAAGATGAAGTGAGAAGGAGGTTTACTTCCATCGCCTATTCAGACCCTCTTTTCTGGGATCGCCCCCGGGCAACAGGTAAAAAGTCTTAACATTAACATCCTCCTCGGCTTCTTATCTCATAACGATTAGCTGAGAAAATCATTTGGGTCTCCTGCAGGTGGAGACAGTGGCACAACAGTAAAGGGAAGGTGAATATTTCAGTTTGTTTGTCTCTTCTCTCCATCTCTGTGTCTCTCTCTGTCTCTCGCTCCGCCCCTTCCCTCTCAACACTCTGCCATTTCCCCTTCCTCCTCCTTCTCTCTGCTCTTTCTTAGGTTCCCAGTGCCATGCTCCGGGCTCCAAGCCAGCCTCTCCCCAACCAATTAGGCTGACAAAGCCGGTGCTGAAACAGCCTTCTGCGGCGCATATCGTCCTAGAAAAACCTACAGACACTGGGTGGGTTGTCCTTCCCCTCTTCTTCAGTCACATTATTTCTAAATCTCAGCTTTAGCAGAGGGTGCTTACCATACTACTAAGGACATACCTCGGCTTACAGGTCTCAGCTCATATCATTCTCTCTTCAGCACATACTTCTGACTGCATCAGGGTGTTTCCTTAAGTGCAAATGTGGATTTCTCCTGATCTGGAAATCTGACACTTGCTTCATTTTTAGTTGTAGTTTCATTGTGTGGCATCCTGCGTACTGAGATCTCTACAGGAAATCGTTTGCTGCTAGTGTAATTTTTCATGTGTTAATGCAGAGGAAGAGCTTTATGTGTTTTTCCACATGATGCGTCAATTCCCCATAATCACTGTTCCACTGGGAGGCCTTAGTCATCCCACAAAACTCACTTGGTGGGTACCGTAACCAGTTTAGAGTCTATTCCTGACTGTCAGCAGACCCCTGAGAGAGAAGCTGCACCGCCCTGGGCTTCAGCTGCAGCTGCTTAAATTAATGAAGAACTTGGAAGGAAGGGAAAAGATAATGGAAGGACTAGAAGTTGTTGACACTGACAGGCCAGTGGGAACTTGAGATAAATTTGAGTTCTAAGCATTAACAAATTAAAGCCACACTCTTCTGATGCGCCTTAATAATTTCCCTGAGTGGAAACTTTTCCCTGTGGTTTGCTGTGACGATGACTCATCTTTGACTCTTGGAAGAAAAAAAAAAAAATCATAAATCTTTTTGGCAGAGATAACACACATGCTCGGAAGTCCAAGTCTGAAGTGTATAATTTGTTTTCAGAGGAATGAGGCCGTGCAGCAACATAACAAGGGCAAAATCAATGGAGAACTGCCAGCTCATTTATTCTGAAGCTCCCTGGATTCTTTGTAATGTGTGTTACAGATCTCCCTGCTCCCTTAACACAAAAATACATTTATGAAAAAAAGGTCAAAAATGCAATATATTGAAGTTATATTTAGCAACACAGGACCAGTTATTTTGACACATCAGTGTGTTGATGTTCTAATAAGGGAACTCCATGTGCTTCATATTTTCTCTGATGAGGATATATACTTGCTCAGCTTCATTCAAGTGGGCGCCTCTTTTAAATAACCTTCTTTTTTCGACTAAAAAAACTCCCACTTAGAATGGTTTAACATAGGAATCAACATTATAAAGCCGTGGAGATTTGTGGGCTGCTTGAAGATCTCCAAGATGAGTAATCCATGTTTGCATTTAGTCCATTTTGATTTGAACTGATGCTACTCAAACTTCTAAGGTTGTATATGAGACGGTTGTAATGTCGGTGATTCCGCCTAAAAAGGTTGGGGGTCTAATCAAAATAACAAGATGGCTATGGCTAATTAAGAAGTACTTGTTTACAAATCATGTCTTGTATGTGGTAACACATTTCAGTGTTATGACATACCAGAGGGAATTTAGAGTCGTATTGGTAAATCGATTAGGTCTTTTCTCATTGAACGATCGCTTTGCAGTTTGTTGACAGATAGCTCAACCCCATTACAGAATGTCTCTACCTTTAGATGGTCCCAAATAATAGACTGCGCATCAGCACAAATAACGTTGTTGATAATGTTCTGTAGCCTGAAGCAAGGTGGTTCACTTTTAAATGAAAAGGAGTTCCCATTGGTTCTAACGTGCTGTCCCCATCAGCCACCTCTGGCCTGCTGAATGATGATCCAATCCATTTCACCGGTCATTGCCAACTGCTTTACAAGCATAATGACAACTAACAGACTGTGTTTATTGTGTTTGTGATGCCTCTGTGACAGTGACAGCTGTTGCCAGACTTATTATATTTTCAGCTGGTCCATCCATATGTGTACACCTGCGTATGTTCACTCCTGAGAATGCAGCACATTTTGACGGCCTGGAGGGAATTTGCTCAAATCTGGCATTGACTTCTGCTTTGAGTCTAAAACAAACTGATTCAAATTTGACTGATACAGGTCACAGTCACTTTGACCTCAACAGACAGAATTTGGGCAATTAGTGAATTATCTAAATGCTTAAATATTTCTTTTTTAAATTGTCTTAAAAGATTAAGTGATGCAGAGATGACATTTTATATCCAGAAGGTCATCTTGACTGTGACAGCAGAATGTTCTCCAAAAACAATCTTCTGGCCATCGTTCAAAGCTAAAACTCATGAGCAGAAGGACAGTTTAATTTTCTTTCGGAAATACCAAATTGTGGATAACGGATTTGGATATCAACCTTTTAAAATCTCTCACATTTTGATTGGCTGGCAGTATGATCGAACTTTGAACATCTTTCCTATGCCATTGCCACAGAGCACAAGCTCTTTGTCCTCACCGCTTAATTTACTAAGAAGTGATGCGTCATTTGGTCCGAGACAGACAGAGTGATGGTTTTTACTTGGCACATCGTGTCTTTTGGGGCCAATGAGTTGCTTCATAAACCGGACTGAACCTTTTAACGGAGATGAGTTGGCTACCTGAGTTGCAGGCTTGAAGATGACCCTGGATACACATTGGACAACACATAACATCAAGGGAAATGTGAGACCTTTTAATTACAGAATACAGGGTACTCGGTTCAGTTCTGTTGCCATAATGCTGAACAGGACAAGGTTAAAAAAAAAAAAGCCCTTCAGCTGAATGGACCAGCCTCAAAACTGAAAGTACTGTTTTCCAAGTATCTATAGAAGTCTTAATAATGACATTTCCAATTGATGGCCACCGGTCAGTTGGCTGAGCCCGCTGCAGGACATACTTTTCCATGCAGTAAAAATGTAATTCTGTTTTCAGAGGGCTATGCCTGTTATAAATAGTTACATCTCAGCGCGTAGCCACAGCTTTGGATAGCCCAGATATCTGCCAGCAGCTCAAATAATTAATACTTTTGTGTCTGATCCACTTTCTTAGTGGAAAAATAAGCTTCTCCTTCCCAGTTTCCAGTTGCATAAACAACATCTGCCAAGAAGAGGTCTCATACCATTTCCTTTTTCGGTATTATTTGTTTTTTTATTGATGGGGATTGTGGTACTCTTCGATCTCTCTTCCTGAGTTCAGTGTGACAGCGTGGTCAAATTGAATTTTGGGATTTGGAGACAGCATGATGTGTGAATATGTCCTCACGGGGGTTTTCTCAGCTCTGGTTTATTCACACCAGCTTGAATAAGACACCATAACTTTGTTGTCTTTTAATGCCAATACAAACATTTTCATTAAGTGAAAGGCAGAATAGCCATTATGTGAAAAAAGTGACCCCGTTTTTGAGCTCCAACATGTGCCTTGCAGAAAGAGTCGTGTCTGTATTCTTGCCCCCTCAAAAACGTTTGAACACACCCCAGCAAAATCTGTGACAGTGACAAAGCCGCAGATTTTTGTCAGTCTCAGTCACTGGTGTCTGTGTATGACACATGGAATCTGTTATTGTCTATAGCTGCTTTTTGAGAGCAGGGAAGGCTAAAATTCATATACTGGTATATATATATAATCTGATGTAATCTATTACAACATTGAGCCACCTGTTGTTTACATTAAGCCACAATTTTTATTTCTATTGACTGTCATCATCACAAACACGGCTTTTGTCCTCCTGTCTCATATTTCCAAAACAGCATCTATTATTTTCACCCGGGCAGTCTGTCATTGCGTCCATTTTAGGGCTTTCGAGCGACAGCTGAGACAACGGATTGTGAAATTTCATCTTTTAACTGATCAGCAGGGCTGAAGATAAGATTTACTAGATGTTTCCATGGTGAGGAGACCAGATTCAGACCGCGATCATTTCGACGGACCCACTGCAGCTCCATCAGCAGGTCAAACAAATCAATAAAGGAGATGAAAGCCCCACTCAGGAATAGAGTCAACCTTTCATGTGCCTTTCTTTTTAGCCCATGTTTTGACTACTTAGGAAATGCTAGATCGGTGGTTGTGATAGCTTTGACTATCTTCATCCTGCTTCACAATGGTCCCAGTGTGACATGAGCCAGTCAGTGCCTTTCCCTGTCACCATGTATGAGATGTTTCTGAACACTTTTGAGAGGAGGTTAAAGCTGTGCTTTTCTTTTAGTAGTTTACCCATAACTTTAACCTTTTTTCTTAAATAGTGTTGCACAGAGAGGCACTAGTTAGAGCAGTTTGTCCCCCTGGTACAGACCAGTGGCTTCTGTTAAAATTCATCTGCTGGACAGATTTTCTCTACCAACAAAACTGACCATGTGCCACTATTGACTTTGACCACCTGATTTAGTTTGACCCCGATAAGCGGTGCAGTAGCAATGCTGCGATTCAGAGCTTCTCAGCCCTAAGATTGCACCACAGGTTAGAGAGGTTGAGACCACGGAGTTAGATGTTGAGCAGTTTTAACAAGAGTACAACAGTCAGGCCTCAGCGATGGTGTGCGGAGTGTGTGAGCGGGCATTGCCCTTCAAATTCAAGCGAGCTCCCAAAGTTTGCACTCGTGCTTCCAGACTTTTAGAGTCCCAGAAGCATTATTTTTAGGGTTTACGTCTAACAGAGGATAATTGTGATGAGATTGAACTAACTTGTCATAGCCTCTTGTTATCATTCTATAACAGACCTTAATAATTTAAGTTTTATTTTCTCTTTTTTATTAGAATGTCCCAAATGTCTCTTTATTCTCAACTGTTGGATAATAAGCGCCTCTCTGATTTTAACAAAAAAAATTGAGTCTCCTGGTTGCTTTGGCACATTGGGCCTCTGATACCTGCCTGACTGTAAATCGACCCGTTTCACACAAGAAGCAGAGTTTACCGTGCCGGTGCTTTGATATTTATGGGCTGCCCCGTGGCTTGCAGCCCCTGTGGTCAAAACCGAAACAAGTTCAGCCGAGGCCCAGGGAGCACAATAGAGAGAGCCACTTCGCTCGGGAGCTGCAGCGGCACTAAATATAGCACAGCGAGCCCCGGTGCAAGAGCCAGGCTGATTTGTCCGAGCAGAGAGGATTATAAAGCCAGACCATGGCGATTCCCAGCTGAGCCCCTGCTCATTCAAAACAAAAGGGAGGCCAGAGAGTTGGCTCGCCCCTCAGCACATTTCCTAAATTCATCATTCTCAGCCACAAATGATGCACACCAAGAATTTTTAGTCACTCAAAGCGCGGCTGTCCAACACTGGTGATTTAGTTTGACCGCTCTCCACTGGTGCATTCTGTCTGAGAGCAAACGATAACGATAAATGTGTGTGTCGGCCCGTTCTTTGTGTGTTTCCACCACCACAGTTACCTGATTCTGAACAGCCCGAAACAGGAGGCGTCCGAGGAAGAGCAGCCACCCACCAGAGTCCGTGTGTCGGGCAGAGGCACGGCCGTGTCGGTGCCGGCCAGCACGCTGAGAAACATCCGCCGCTACCGGGGAGAGCACGACGCCTACCTGCGCGCCACGGCTCACGAGGCCATCGGCAACTTTAACCCGCAGGCCATCACAGACAGGTAAACGAAGGATTGAAAAAGTAAAAGGTGGGCCGATAACGAGCATGACCAAGAATTTTATTTCGTCTGAGCACTGACAGTGACTGGTGAGTTCGGAGGTTCAGGGCTGTTACATCCATCACATCATCCCCCCCTTTTGCTTTGTTTGTTGATCCTAAATATGCTTAAATGCACTCTATACTGAAAACCATTTTCTGACATATCCAACCAATTATCTAGTCCCTGCAGATTTTCTCTTTCTTTTGTCCTGTTGTAAAGGTAAAAGTGAAATCCTGTTTTCATCATTTTGAGGAAGAAAAACAAACAAACAAACAAGAATTCTACAATGTTTAAAAGTGAACTAGAGTCCCACTGAAGCAGATTTGTCCCTCTGGCTTCTTGTTTAATCCCTTGACCTTATGCACAACAGGAAGTCCTCACTACCAGGGGTCGTCAAGAGTTTATGGTGTGTGGTTTTAGTGCTCTCTCACACACAAATATGTGCACTTAACACAGTGTGTAATGGATTGGTTCTGTGCAGACTCGCTATTTGCAAAAAGTAATGATGTGTTTTTTTTGTATCGTAGGGTCCAGTTCCTTATACCGCACCAGGTTAGGTGCCACATATTTGCATAAAATTGTTAAAAAATGGAAGCCATTGTCCAATCTCCCATGTTGTCTGATTGTTTGTGTAACCTGCTCATTATAATTCCCACATCAGAGAGGCAGACTTTGATCTGCACTTTACTCATTTCAAATACAAAAAAAAGAATATTGTCTGAGGAGAAGGATCCAATTATTTCAGTCTTTTTGGAGACAGAGCACACTTATGTTGACTCGCACACCCCTGCTCTGACACTGCAGAAACTTATCAAAGAGATGAAATGCTAATGAGCAGCCGGGAGCTACTCTGGAGCACACACCACCTGGAGGATCAGACCGGGTCTTTAACACTACCGAAAGATGGAAAAGTTCAGCCTCTGAAGCTATTTAAATTTTACATTATAATAGAGAAAAACTGAGTCAGATAATAATGACTGGATTTGATGAACGTGCAAAAGACAGAGACATAGTTGGACAAACAAAAACACCTCTAGATGGAGTATATTAAGGGTCATTTATCCATCCATTTTCTGCAGCTTATTCCAAGTCAGGGTGGCAGGGCGGCTGGAAGCTATTCCAGCTGTCATTGGATGAGAGGTGGGGTACACACTGGATAGGTCTCCACAGGGCCACAGCAATATGCCCTTAAGGCTTCCCAGCAGGGTAGATTATCCAGGCTGTTTGTTCTGCTTTTGTTGCTGAGAGTAAAGAATGCTTTTCTTAACTCTTTAGAGGATGCAGCAACCAGCCTCACCAACATATTACAGACACAAGACCAGGGACTGTAGACCTAAAACTTCTGGGGATGCTCTCGAGGAGTTCCTGTCTTAGATCCTGACTTTAAAACCTCCAACATCTGGCTTGAGTTTGGTCTTAAATGGGATTCAATGATATTTTTCATAGCAGCTCAAAGACGAAGTGCTCATTTTTGTTAGGAAGCAGTGCTGAGCCTTGTGGTCAGGTATTTAGGACATGCTTGACACATTCTTTGAAAGACTGCAGTAGGTTGTTCATGAAAAAAAGGTCCCATTGAACCACTTGATTCGCCCTTACTTTTAAAAATGTGAAGCTAACTTAGTGAGTTTTGTGGCTAACTATACACACAAATGGCCACACATTCACATCTATGTTACGTTTGATTTAACATCTTGTTGATCTCTGATGCTGGTGTATTAGATCCGGAACAGCAGTGGTTTTCTGTAATTGTTTGATCACTTTGGCCATAAAAGGTTGTTATGGACGCAAATCATCATGTAGTTCCATTTTCCCAGCAGTCAATATCTTTGGCTTTCTAATTTCTTTAGTCTCCGGCATTATGGCATTTTTGTGCTGCGTTGGAGATGTAAGTGCATCTCTAATAAGATCAGTCAGAAACATGATTCCTGCAGAGTTGAATCTGTAGGGTTTTAATGGCTCGCTGGCATCCGCAGTCTGAGGAACATGTCTGCCGCTTCTCCACTGTTTTTGCCAGTTTCAGAAGTAACACTCCATAAAATTTTCATAGCATTTCACCACTTCAGTTTTCCTTAATGTGCTTTTTGTAAGGGATCCTATCCAGGCCACCTTAAATGTGTCTGCACGCACCTGTGTGCAGACGTTTTTGCATTTCATATGTCCAACTTTTCATTTCTTTTTTGGAATTTTCACGACATTGTTCTGGGAAAATCTGCTCTGACTTCAACATATACTGTAATCCAAAGCTGGTGTATTTGGTGGGAATGCACCAGGGAATTCCCTGGTGGGAATTGTTGGGCCTCTGTAAATAACTTCAGAGTGGGGTCTGACCTGCTCTGTTTGGAAAGCGTGTGAGATAACTGTTGTTTTGTCATTTGGCACTATATAAATAAATAGAATAGAACTGAATTGATTTTTTTTTTCTCAAACTAGGTTCAATAATATTTCCCTGCTCTTTGAATTGTGTCTTCATGGGTGTGTTGTTCTTAATGTGCAGTTTTACAGATTTCTTCTCTCAAAGTTAGAAGCAAGAGCTGTAAAAGACAATAATTAATTCAGTCAGAAATATTTGAGTCAGAAATCTTTTTCTGACATGCAGTTTGTGACCAGTCGCAGCTCCTGTTTGCTCCGATCACAGGCAGACCTGTTGTTTTGTTTTGATATGTGTTGTGCTTAACTTGACCTCCATTTTCATGACTTCCTGCCCTTATCGTCTCACAGCCTGGCGGAGGAGCTGCTGGCGGAGGTGCTGGCGGATGTGTCGGCAGAGTTTCAGGGCGTGGTGGAGGAGTACGCTGAGGCTGTCTTCACCTCAGAGTTCCTCCAGCCCATCCGGTCTCCCCCCCCCTCGGCTCTGGTCAGCCACTCGGAGGCTCCAGCTCGTTTATTTCAGTGATGCCTTGAAAACACAAACTATCTCGTCTGTTTATCATGTTGAAAAATTTGGAGGTTAAAAATGTTTTTTTCATCAATTTTTTATTAATAATTTGTAGGTATTTCAATTTTGAATGGACTTCATCAGAGATTGTATTTATTTTATTTTAAATTAGATTTTTATTATTCTTCTCTGAGAAGGCAGCATATGACTTTATTTCCATTACCTCCACGTGTTTTTAAAGACACTGCAGTGCATGAGATTGTTGAAATTGCACAGGGCAGGTCGGTCTCATCACTTTTTATGGTCCATTTGTATCTGTGATTGAATTCCTTTGGGAAAGTTAGTTTAGGGGAGATAAGCTATGAGAGACCATTACAACTTTACAGAGGATTAAAAGATTATAGCCCTCCCTTTGCACTTGGTATGAATCTCCCTGAGGATTATTCACACTTTCTATTTTCACTTTGGAACATAGAAATAAATGAATTGCTTATGGCATCCATCTGAAAGTGTAGAAAGCCAAGGGCATCATATGTTTAAGCTGCTGGAACTTGATTTCCTCCTTTTGCTTTAACATCTAAATAAAGGATCTCAGTACCGCACCATTAGTTTGTGATATATGTGAGCCTTTAAAGTGGATTAGTATCCGTTTTTAAGGACATTCTCTGCACTTATTTCAGTTTATCCACAACATCAGTCAAAATATGTCCACTAGTTTATGCGCTGCCAAATGCTGCATCGTTATGGGGAAAAGCGTCAGCTCCAGGCGAATGAGTAAACAGCTTAGAAGATGTCTGAACCCCTTCAGAGCCACATCAAAGTCGAGCAAACAGAACAGTGGGGAGACATGCAGATGTTGCGCCGGCCTGTGGGGATCAGCCTCTGACGGCATCCTGTGACTGAACGAGCAGCAGCTCACTCTGAATCTGTCATCCCCGCTTTCAGGCTGGATCCTATGTGGGCGTCGTAATATGCATGGGCTCTGAACGGCTCCCCAACAGTGTTCCACCTCCAACAAATGGACAGCAGTTGGTTCAACGCTTTGAATTCTTGCTGGTTTCAGAATTAAATAACAGTACCGAACTGGCAATTTTACAGGGAACATTTAAAAACTGTAAATCATTTCTGATTCTGACTATCATTATTATTTCCCCACATCTTAAAACCCAGGGATTCAGCAGACATAGCCTAATATGTCGTCTTTACAGGAACCAGAAGCTGTGGTGAACACTAGTGAAGACAAAATGTCTTCTTTTCTGGCTCAGCTTAACTACAGTGGAGCTGAAACGTCGGATAATGCTGCTCAGTGCTGAACATGTGCAGATGTCACTGTGAAAAGACCAAAATTAGCACCATTTTTCAAATGATTGTCATTTCTAATGTCCCATGAGGTAAGACCTTGCCCTCAGCCAAAACAGAGTCATTATCACAGCTAATTTCTTAACTGCTCTGGATGCAGCTAACTGCAGCACATGCACGGCGTCTTGAGGGCGTGCGTTTCCATCCAGATGCAGCACGGCCGTTCACATCGCTCATGGTCCTGTTTTACACCAGATGGACGCAGACCAGCAGATTTCTTTCCTGCTGTTTTCTGCGAAGACGCCAGCCATTATTTACCATTTGGTCTCACAAGTTAGTTTACATCCTAATAATGCACGCTGCTTGGGCATTTTGAGTAACTATTTTGAGGCAAAATTTATTTTTTAAGACATCCTCTTGTTTGCACTATGAAGGCAGCTTTTTCAGCATTAATTCCAGCTTTTGTAGAATAATAAAACTCAAGGAAATTATGCTAGTTAAACCAAACTGATGCAGTTCGAGAAATAGTGTTTGTCTGCTGAGAAGATAGAGGAGATTAAAGAAAGAAATACTTTTTTCTTAATTTTCGGAAGGATAGTAACTAACAGAAAGTCTTGCATATTTCTTTTTTCTCCTCTACTTTTGGCGTCCTTTCACTCCTTCGTTCAGCCCATGAACGACAGCCCCCACACACACCAATGTAAGTCAGTTGCTATTTATTACTCAGCAGTATTATTACCTACAAAATGACAGATAATCATGATGTCAAATAGATACTAAATCCGACTTATTGTGGAGAACTCATCTAATTTTTGGTCAAAACACAGAAAAAAACAAAATGTAGTAAGAGCAAAGAGTGCAAGCAAAAGCTTAAACAAGAAAAAAGGAAACCTAGAGTCCAAAAAACGATAAGTAGGTCATCCATTAATTGTAAAAAGCAGTGGGTAATATGGTGAACCCAAGAGTTGGCCCCATGTTTACTAACTGATGTGTTTATGGTGGAAAAAGCAACATACGGATGCATTTTTAAAAGGTTATATGTGGCTTGTAGTATAAAGCAGTTTAATTGGGACTACAAAAGCATGAAATAGGTATAGTGCATTCATTGATGGATGGGAGGGAATGGCTTTTTCATCAACTGATCCTTTTTGAAAGACTATACAAACAGTTGGCACAGACACCTGCTTTCTTCTTTTTTTACCCCCTGCGATTTGAATGAATAGGAAAAAAGATATCTGGCACATGGAAAAAGTCAGGTTTTCTGGGTAAGGTACAAGTGATTATAGCATCCTTTGAGAGTAGCAGGTGTGCTGCTTTATTCAAGGCCCAGTCATCCACCGTCAGATGTTTCCCAGAGTTCCCCAGAAACACATGACAACACAAAGTTTGCCTTTGAGATATAATACACTTTGGGACAATGTCCTCTGGACAAATCACAGAAGGTTTTGCACAACAAGGAGTCTGTTTTCTGACTCAGCTGACACTGGTTCTTAAAAGCTCCCATTCTAAGGACAAAACAGGTCAAGTCAGCTTAAGAGGACGGTTTTTAGGGCCCAAAATGCTGTCCAGTGAGACACATCTAAACTCCTTGTTGTTCATAACAACAGTTCTGGAAAATAAAATAGGAAAAGGGCTGATATTTTGTTGTATATCTGTATGAATTTATCTCTGCTGTCATAAACATAGAAGTGGATGTAAGCAGTATTTTTCTAAGGCTGCAGAATTCCTGGGACAGGAAAGAAACAACAAATGTGCACCTCAGGCAGTCAAATCATTTTGCTGACTGCCACATTCTGTATTTTGTGACTCTTTGATAGCGCATTGGTAGCTTTGTGCTGTGGAAGCAGCTCTTGCTTCTTTTTTCAAAAAGCCCCACAATAGTTATAAATATCTTTCCCTGACTGAGTTTCTGTTTGCTTATAGACTATCAACTTTTAGCATGGTTACGGTGAATTATTGCTTTCTGAGTATGGGATGGCATTGGGTACTGTCAGTGTCCACTGTAAGGCCGCAGAGTGCCTCGGTGTTTGATTTGTGTTCTCAAAAGCATGAAAGGACACTTCATTCCAAAAACAACGTCACAAAATTCGATTAGCCTTTTTCCTCCGTATTTTTCCCATTTGGATGCTGTTTGCCGTTTGCTGTAATCATTATTATCTTTCTATCTGACTTCCTACCCTTAAGGTCATTTTCAATTAGTTTTCCTTAGCGAGATCTCCACCTCTTTTCTGGAAAACAAGTGTCTCGTCCATGGCTTCTATAACAAAAACTCACCGGCAGTGTGTATTCCTGCTGGAGTTTGGTGATGTGGCGTGCCCGGTTCTGGGATTCTGGGTTGATGGCTCGGCCACAGGCGTTTTCCTCTATCAATATTTAATTGTGCGGTCGTGCGTCCCCCCGATGGGACCGTGTGAGCTCATGTGTGATCGCATATGAGGGACCGAGCCGTAAAAGCAGCAGGTGCTACTACGACCACTTCACATGTCCTGGCGTCACATGTGGAAAAGCAAAGTGAAATAGAATAGGTCAGTATATCTGTTAGATTCCCATTTTTACACATTTCACAGGTAGAGTCAAAGGGTCAGAGGTTACAGGAACGTGGGACGTTTCCTTTCCCTCTTTTTCTTTTTCTGTTGCATTAGATCCACGTCTTTAGGTCAACACAAACACACACCATTTGTTACCACATTCCAATGTTATCTACATGAATTAGGACCTGGCCTGTTTTTGCCCAGAGGTAACTAGCCAATAGGACTTGGTTGTGTCCAGTACTCCTTTGAAGAGGAGGACCTAGCCAAGGAGATAATTCCCATCACACCCAGATCTCAGGGCTCTTGGCCGATTGAGACCCTGAGAGTTTTTGTCTGTGACATACTTTGCCTATGACTTAATAAATGTCATTTTTATGCTTTTGATCCACTCTGGTTTATTCTCAGGTTTCCAACAAAAGAACCAGTCTAACATATTGATACATATCTCCAAAAAAGCAGTGACCAAAGATGTATTTATCATCTTATAATGTGCCCTGATAGATTCACTCAAAACCATTTCAACTATTCATCGTGCACCAAACCAGTAGCTGACTTTTACATCATGACCTTTCCTTTCTGTTTTCAGTTTCCGGACAAGAAAATAGAGTCGGTTCCCCCTTAACTTAATTTAGCACACTCCAGGGGTGTTTCATAAAGTCAGACAACGTTTTCACGAGGAGCACGGAGGCTCCACAGACGCGGACGCGGACGCGCGCGCACCGCTGGAGGCAGTCGCGCTGCAGACCGGAGCTGCTTTCCAAGCAACTCCCGGCTGCTGTCAGCAGCGGAGAGGAAGGGGAAGCACCGAGGGGGAGCTGGGCTGGGCATGGCATGCGAGCAAAGTCTGCACAGATACAACACCGCTTCCAAAGTGCGTCTGCGGCGCGCGCGCGTGGCCGGAGGCTCCGCTGGACTTTGCACCGGTGAGGGAGACCTCGGCCACTGATTTTTTTTTTTGCCCGCTCCGGGGGAAGAGGGGGGCCCCCCCCCCCCCCCCCCCACCCACCACCCCCACCACCTCACTCCCCCCTCCGTACCCGCCTCAGCCCGATCCAGTCAGTCTGGCAGGTGGGGCAGCGGAGGAGGATCAAGCATCCGACGCGAAAAAACGCCGTGACACGGAGAAGGAAACGCGCACTGGAGAGGACACTATGTCAAAGGAGGCGAGAGGCAGAGGTAAGGAACGCCACCTCACGCCCGGTCCTGCGTGCTAACAGGTAGATGGACGCACTGTGTCTCGCGTGTCTCGTGTTGCCGGATGCGTGCGCGCACAGCTGCTGCATGGATGGATTCACTCCGTATAGGAATGTGCGACAGTCTGAAAGACCCCCCCCTTCCCTCCCCCCTTCCACCCCTCCCTCCTCATCCTCATCCTCATGTCACACAGTCCGGTCCGTGGACTGTCCTTCATCTGTCAGAGAGAGCCAGCCCGTCCTGGTTGTGTGTGTGTGTGTGTGTGTGAGTGTGTGTGTGTGTTTGGCCAGCCAGCTGACGCGAGTGTGACGGGGGGAAAACACACTGACAAAACCAAACAGAGAGAGGTGAAGTGCACGTGACCTGCAGACCGACCCAAAGGCTCCTGGTCAACCGGCTTTACAGCACGTGAGATCCCGGGTGGATTCCAGCCCGCGTGGAGCTGGGGAGACGCGCTCTATTTGGCCACGGCAACACACATCCAGTGTGTCGCCTTGTGTTTAATAAAGAATAACAAAATCTCTCCAAACCTACACCTGAACCACAAATGAGAAGACGAACAACCAGAACAAAGTAAAAGCAGATGTGTGGATGAGTAGCAGAGAGAGCTTCAGTGGATGGGAGCTATTAATAGCCCTCAGTTTGTCATGCAGCCCGTTTGATTGTTGGATTGGATATGCAGAGATGAGAGTTGACAGGACACACCAGCAGAGGCCTTTGAAGTCATGACATTTATATAGCATAAAAGGTTTTTTTTGTTGTTAACGGAAAATGATTTTTTATTGCTCAGATGTGCCACCTGTTTGCATTGTGATCTTTCCATGAACCACTAATGTATTGTGTAGCGGAA